CCCCACGTCGTTCGATCATTTTTCTTTTTTACATCTCTGGCCGCCTCGTTTCCTGTCTGTTACACAGCAGTAGCCGGCGTTGTTTTGTTGTGCTACAACCTGTTGCAGTAGGTAGGATGATACGTTGAGAGCCACCTGAACGCTTACATGGATTCCAAACAACCGCCAACATCGCTCGAATATCCACTTCTGCTGCTGCTGCCTCACGATCATGAAGACAACCAAGCTCGGGTTGAGCGGTATCATGATCCAGACCCAGGCCACGAAGTTCGCGGCTGGAGATGAACGTGACCAACTTCACCGCGAGCAACGGCTGGCTACATCTCTTCCTTTCTCGCTATGGCCTCGTGCACATCAACCTGCACGGGGAAGCTGGTGACGTGAACAAGGCTGCGGCTGCGAAGGAAATCGCGCAGATTCGGGAGCAGCGTGAGGGCTTTGACGTCGAGTTAATCTTCAACATGGACGAGACGGGGCTTTTCCGCCGCTGTTTCCACTGTTGTCGCCTGCTGCAACACCACCGGACCGCTCAAGGTCCCGCTGGCCGTCATCCATACGGCGAAAGACCCCATGGTTTTCCGCCACGTCCGCAAGCCAGCTTGCCCCTACTACACCCAAAAGAGTGCCTGGCTGGACTCTGCACTCTGCCAGCGGTGATTCGACGAAGTCTTCGCCCCCTCTGTCAAGAAGACGACTGGGAAGAAGGTGGCTCTCTTGTGGGACAACTGCCCAGGCCACCGCATCAAGAACGACGACCCGCAAATCGTCATAATCTTTCTGCCCCCCAACGTCACGTCCGTCTTTCAGCCAATGTACATGGGGATCCTGTTTCCTCTCAAGTGCCGGTACAAGACTGAGATGGTGATGAGGTTGGCGGCCCTCATCGAGGACTGGGATACAGCGCGTTCGCGCAAAATCCGAAGGTAAGACTGTGTTGTGGGGGCGGCGAAGGTAGTGATTCGGTCTTGTGGCTGCGGGTTCAGTTGTGTTGGTGCTGGTCAGGCGAGTGTTGTTCGACAACAGTTGGTGCAGGCATGTACTGGATTACTACTGTAGGCGAGTGCCATTCAACAGCAGTCAGCAGCACTAGTGCTGCCTCAAAAAGGCCTCCGATCAAAATATGCCTGCCCTACACCGCATCCAGCGAAATCCACTCGCTCTCTGGTGATTAACAATCTGTCCCTTTTTTTTTACCCTGTGTTCCTTGTATCATTGTTTCGCAGGGGCTGCAGGGGCCTGAACGACGCAGGCCAGCCGACAATGCTGCATGTGACGTAGATCCTTTCCCAAAAGTGGGAGAGCTTTTCGGACCAGACTGTGATCAGGTGCTGGCTCAAGGCCACCAGAGGTAACGGAGAACATGTCAAACGTACACGTCAANTCGCAGGGGCTGCAGGGGCCTGAACGACGCAGGCCAGCCGACAATGCTGCATGTGACGTAGATCCTTTCCCAAAAGTGGGAGAGCTTTTCGGACCAGACTGTGATCAGGTGCTGGCTCAAGGCCACCAGAGGTAACGGAGAACATGTCAAACGTACACGTCAAGGAGGACGTGTCCAGTGAAGAGGAAGGCGATCACGGTAGGCCAGTCGTGCATAAATCAACGATTTCAGAGAGCGAGGTTCGCTCTCGTCTCGAAGATGTCCGCTCTTACTTGTACACACATGGAAGAGACGGCGAGTACAGCGAAACGGCGTACCTTCTTCCGAAGACTGTGCATTCGTTTACTCATGAAACTCAGGTCAAGCGAATAGCAAAGGAGGGGAGGGAAGTGCAGGCGAATCTTCGGGATATGTGGCGGGTGAAGTTTTTGGTTTCGAGAGCAAAACACTTTTATTGCCAACGTCCGTTGTTTGCCTTGGGTGAAGTCTCGTGAGGTTGAATTTGGCGTTTGTGTTGTGTTGTGCCTCGTTTTGACCTTTTGGGAGGCGCGGTGTCCTCGTTGTCGCTGTGCTTTCCCGACATTTTTGGTCTTTGTGTGTCTGCGTAACCTACATTTTCCTAGTGTCGTTTTGCAACCTTCCATATTTCTCAGGTGCGGTAGCGAGATCTTGGGCAAGATATTCACGGGGAGGACAACGCCTAAAAAAAAAAATAAAGCAAATAATTAGGCCCATATCAACACCAGCGCACTACCGTCGTGTACATGTACGATGCGTAGGTCGTAGAACACCATCGCTTTCAGCGTTTTGGTGGTACAGCAGTACGGGGAAATTCAAACGATGGTATGCAAGTATGTATTGCAGCACAATAGCAGCAGTGGTTGCGACCTTCAAATCACCTTGTGTCGTAGGTTTCAAACAGTACCTCTTGTGGTCGCCTTTCTGCTGCGAATGCGCACCTTTTGACATATGTTTCGCCTTCATTGGCCCCGGGGATGGTGCGTTAGTGGCCCCGGAATTTTAAAGACACTTCCCCTCGTTAAAGACATTTTTTTTGGGGGGAAAACGTGGTGTGTCTTTAGAGCGGCGTCGACTGTATAAGGAGCTTCAAAGCGGTGTGGGTGTGTGGCCCGCCCCGATTCGCATGGCACAAATTGAACGCTAGTATTGAATATTGAATGCATATCATGTATTGAAGGTTGTTCCGAGTCAAAGGTTTTATGTCCCGCCTCCTTGGTTGTTGCGGTTCGAAAGTGAAAGGGAAAGTGGGAGTTGCAAATGGCTTTCAAGCTTCAAATGCTGAATAGAAAGAACAATTTTCCCTGCTGTGAAGACTTCCCTCGACACATCCCTTTTTTGTTTGACTGCTGTTGTGGTGAAAATCTCGAAGGGTGTTGTGGTCTTTCTGTCAGGTTAGTATAGTTCTTAAACACACACACACACACACACATACACACTTCATGGTAGATAGAAGTGTTTTGTGTTTTCAACCGCACTAAGACTGACGTCTTTTCATTGGTCAGCCGGTTAGCGCGGTCGATGCTAACAATAAAAACACATACACACACACAATAAAAGCACACACACAAGTACGTCGCAGGCAGGCCGCTGTGTCGAACGGGTCGACCGACAGTATGCACACGGTTGGAGAAGTTCAAACGCAAAAATCACTTGAAAAATGGGGGCGTGGTGGACGGGTGGGTGCGTGGGAAGAGCACGTCCAGGCTGGCGTTCTACGCCGGAAAGCAGCGGCTGCGCTGGAGCGCAACAACATGCTGCAGGTACAACTGTAGTACATGTGGGTACACACATGTAACAAACCACAGCGAGCGTGCTAGCCGAAGGGATGAGAGCAGCATCTGCAAGGTGCCACAACAGCGACCACTACGAGTAGGTCAAAGAATATCCGTCAGCAGGGTTGCTACTTTATCCTGAACCAAGCACAGATCCGATAGCCGTTTAGGAGGGGGCTCGATAGACTAGTTAGTCTATGCAGTATTTTACGCATTGCACATGGTGGCAAATTTGTGTTTTTGTGTATACACCCGTCCGATTCGCCACGAAGAAGGCTTTTCTTGAGGAGCGCCCGCGCGGCGCAAGTGGCATGCATCACACGACGGTGCGTGCACGGAAAAGAGCAAAACAAAGCTGGCGTGCGTTTGGGTTCTTTTCTACAACAGGGCCAGCAGCGGCCGATCCGCTTAGCACCCATTACTTGTCTGGCAAAAATAGATCGCAGCGGCAGCAGCAGCAAGCAGCAGCATACTGATTCGGCGGACCGTCGCTGAACCAGAGCTCAAAGCCGAAGAAGACACATGGCGCACAGCGGCTGCGGCTGCAGCAGGGGGGGGCTTACATACAATGAAACTCTAGGTATGCGGGTGTGCTGCTGCTGCTGCTGCTGCAGCAGCAGCAGCTGAAACTGAATTCCGTAGGAATTAAAGCGGCTGCTGAGCAATAGCGTCGGGACGATAGACTGAAGAAAAGCGGTGCTGCTGCTGACAACAGAGAGCTGCCGGATACAAGAGCGACACGAGGACACACTCGGAATTATACGTAGCCCGAGGCGACGATCCAACACGCTCCGAACAACGAACAGAGAAAAGACGGAACTTTTATCTCTGCCCCTCCCTCCTCTTACCTCCAGGTCGTCGTGCCGCGACGCTCGCCGTGTATAGGTCTTCTGCCGCAGCTCGGACGACATCGTTCACCCCCTACAAGCAGCAAGCAGAAGTCAGCCCCAGTGTGTCACCTGTCACCAAATGTCGCTCCCACGTTCGTTCCGTCCCCTTCTAGAAAGATGGTGGCTCTGGTACGCCCGTCGCCTAATCAGAGCCCCCCCCCCCAGCTTGCTGTCGTTGCTCTCCTCTGAAATCTTTTAGAATCAGGAAGAGGACCACCGTGCTCTATCGCGCCACATTCACAAGCCGATGCTGCCTCCTTCCTCGCAGGTCATTCTTCGCCAAATAATCTGCGGGGTGCTCCGTGGATGTGGACAGGGCCGGGGTACCACCCCTTTGTACGCGGGAACCGTTCCGGATACTGTTCATGGGAAATTTCTTAGGGCTGACTAAGGGACGAAATGTTCATCGTGTGGACGCTCTTTGCGGTAGCTCCTGCTGCCTGCTTTTGACCCGCAAAACCTGCCGCCAAACACACACTCATTCCAAAGAGTCGTCTGTAAGATAGCAGTTTGTTGGCACTTTGGCATCCCGCCATCGTGCAAGGAAGGCTGCCAAGTCCGGGCCGTTCCAAGCAGTTGGGAAAAGCCGTTTGTTTCAGAACACTGCACTTTTAGCGTAGGCGCACGGAATTGCTCGAAGATTGACTGTGAAAGAACCGTGCTGTGTATTATTTTTTGTTGGTCTTCACCACAAGTCAGCGCTCACAGCGCTATTATACTAGTCTAATAGTGCTGTGTACTTCCAATTCCAACCCGTGGTCTCACAGAAGAGCCCCTCTCTACCCTCCCCTCCTGCGGTACTTTGCCTTCGATTGATAATGCGAGAAGAGTTCAGCACTCCCTTCCTCTGTGTACACACGAACTAGCGCTATCCACAACCTGCTAAAAGGGCCAGGTCATGGGTTCGAGTCCCGGCAGCGAGAGTTTTTTTCTCACAAAATAATGGGGATTGGACAAAATCGGGACGTCCCTGGGGTACAATGTGCAAAATCGGGACGCCTTCTGAACGTGCCGCGTTGCGACGACGCACACACCCAATACCGCACGAAATCGCGCCACAGCGCCTCCACCCGCCGCGCACAAGGCGCGCCGACCCTCTCCAACCCTTTTTTCCCTGCTCAACAACCTAAAACAGTGTAGACGCAGCCGCGCACAAAGCCCTCTCCGCAGACCATCCGATTTTGTCCCAAAACCTGTAAGGTCGACCCCTACCCCGAGCAAAAAAAACATTATCTCCGACCCTATTTTGTCCATCTGACTACTCCTTTTTGTTCAGCACAGCCGGTTTCGTGGGGAGATTGAACGCGGCCATCTCCCCGCAGCACCACCAGCCGATACCCGCAAAAGAGCCAGCAGCAAAAACACTCGGCAGCATGCAAAAAAACACCGACCGACAACAACTTGCCGCCCGCCGGCAAGCCACCACAACTGAAATCGACCGCCGAAGAAAGATCCGACGCTGGGATCAACAGTCACTCTGCAGCGAACGGACACTCGCGGAAAACTTCCTCCGTTCTGCCCTCTCGCCTCTCGCAACTTATCTCTCTCCCTCTCCCGCCTTCTTCACAAGCGAGGGCGACGGCATTATTGGTGCAAGTAAACATGTCGTCGTCGGCGGCGGCGCTGGTGCCACCGCCGAGCAGCACACCGCAGCCTCTNAACGGACATTCGCGGAAAACTTCCTCCGCTCTGCCCTCTCGCCTCTCGCTACTTCCCTCCCGAGTAACTGCAAAACCCTCTCGCCCGGTGCGCGCGCAACCACATCACCCGGGGAGATGTGTGGGCGGCCAGTACTACTGCTGTTTGTCTTCTGGCCCTTGTCCGCTGTCTTCCCTCCGTCAATCCAAAAACAAACCGCTGTCATGCGAGATCTCATGTTAGAATCTAAATAATAACTACTGAGACTACGAATAGGTGCGTAAATATGTATAATTTTTTTCGTGTTTTTCAATATTCTCGGACTCTGCAGATACTTGTATTTAGCGAACAGTGAAATTGGAAGTTGGTGTTTACGGGGTGAAAATGAGCGGCCGCGCAACAAATAAATGCCTGCAAGTTTTTCACGCTTTTTTCATAGGAAATATNAAACCGCTGTCATGCGAGATCTCATGTTAGAATCTAAATAATAACTACTGAGACTACGAATAGGTGCGTAAATATGTATAATTTTTTTCGTGTTTTTCAATATTCTCGGACTCTGCAGATACTTGTATTTAGCGAACAGTGAAATTGGAAGTTGGTGTTTACGGGGTGAAAATGAGCGGCCGCGCAACAAATAAATGCCTGCAAGTTTTTCACGCTTTTTTCATAGGAAATATTTTCGTAGGGAATCCAGGCCGGCTTCGACGGTAGTGGCCAAACCGAAAGATGAACTGATTTGGGCCAACTGATATTATTATGCACCAGGTACAATAGATCAAATTGAAGACCCAAAATTTTACGTTTTGCTCGCCCAAGACTAGGCCTACATGAAGCAGGTGTGAAAAAGGCGGACAGATTTAACGCCGAGTTATGTCGCCGAAACGATCGTATTGCCGAATGTATGGGCCCACAGAGTATGTGTGTTGGACAAAATTGAGTACGAGGGAAACATAGTGGCGGCCAGAGTGGTGGTTCGTTATTTTGGTTAGACATAAAACAGACGGCAGCAGCAGAGGCACCGACGGTATGCGGTAGTGAAAACAAAGGACGGGAAAGCAAGCGCCGGCCATACGATTTCTTCGGCATTAGGCCACCACCAGCAACAAGGCCCATAAACAAGGCCCATGAAAATGAGCCCCGAAGCACCACGAAAAGAAGAGAAAATCCCCTGAGGGAAAACAAGTGAAAGCTCGTTCGAGGTTCAACTTGGGGGAAAGGGCATGTACATGTCGAGGGTTGGCTCACCCGAATACGGCCGCTGGCATGAAGCCCGCGCGCCGATGACTACTCTGAGACGACGCGAGCATGAAAAACATGTGCAGTGAATCGACACCACTTCTACACCACGCCTGGGACGCAACGGTAACGGTGGTACTACCTATACCGTCAGCTACGAAAAACCCAGCAAAAAAGCAGAGAGCGCGACCAACAAAAAGGTGGCAAAAACAACCCAGCAGGAACCAAAGCACCGAAGAAAACCATGAAAACAGTTGTCCCGTCCTCGCCACACGAACCATTGGGCCAGCAATACAGCAACAACTGCTGGCAAATGTATGAAGAACACCCCGGACGAACACCCAGGCAGGAACGTGCGCACGGCATGCACCTCTTACCCCTTCGCACCCCAGAACATGGCAGAACGGGCAGTGACATAAAAGAGAGGAGAATGTTGAGACAGGTACAAGAGGACAGCAAGACCCCCCGAAAAAACGACAAGTTAAGTGAGGAGATGTCGAAATGCTTCCCCCCGTCACCATCCAAAACCAGGCGTCGTACATGCAGCAACCATCGCACAAGGTGCACGCACCGCGCAAGAACCAACTACACAGCCCCCAGTAGCAAGTGCCGGCCACCTCACCAATGGCCAGGCTAGGGTAGGCTAGGTCCACCCCTGCCAGTCTACGTCTCCCTCGAGCCCTGCCGCTGCCCCTGCGAGAGGTTCGCGATGTGGTTGGCGTGGGCGCTGGCCGCGGCCGCCA